ATTTCTGTGCACTTGCACATGGCTTGGTTGATCACAGTATGACCGTGTATGGGGTCAGCAGATCATGTCGTGATCTCGACCTGCCGTGCATTGCATAGGCCACTGTACTGATGATCACTTAGAATAGTTGATTCCAAATAATTAAAGGGGAAGTTAAGGCAAAAATTAAAATTTCACCAGTTGTAGTCTTCGGGCTGCTGAGTCGAATGGTCGTGGTTCGAGGAAGCTGAGACGCTCCCTTCCTACTTGAATCCCAATCGAACTCGCGCACATCCACCGAAACTGGGTGACTGCGCCCTACTAGATGGGGATTCGTATGCAAAGTGTCACTAAAAGCGCCATTTCGTTCTTAGGCCATCATTTTTTATATCTATGTTTCGCGTCGGTTCAACTCCCAGAATCATATGCATAATACTCAATACCGACAATAGCTCGTGCATGGTGTACATTCGAAAGAAAAATCGTACATCGAAGCACAATATCTGCATCACTTTGGACAGAGGAGGCAACCGTTGGTGCCCTTGCTTCGCTGGATTATTGTACTCAGCCTTCAGCAGCGGTGCAAAGAGCTCCGGAACGACGTATCCTCTCAGCTTGAGGCGACCGATGCGGTCTGTTGTAAGCTCATAGAATACTGCTCGCAGATGCCGAACAAACGATTTACCAACGCTGGCCTCGAGGCCATTTCTGAATCCCAGTTTCGCCGTATGCAACCATGCAGTCAACACCGATGACTCGCACGATCGTACACTAAACTGTGCATGATTGATTTTTTTATTTTTTTCCGAAAAAAATCAAAACGTATGCGTGCGGACGACGCGAAACATAGATATAAAAAATGATGGCCTTATAAAAGCATGGATGACCGCGATTGGCCCATAATGTTGTAGTCTTTTGGACGCTGAGTCGATTGGTTTTGGTCCGAAAAGGCTGCGATGCAGCGTTCCTCCTTTATTACCAATCAACATGGTTGAACAAGCGGTCACGTGCTCCTGCGTACGCCAGTCACCTGGTCACCGTGCCTGCAGGGTACAACTTACTAGCTTGTTTGACCTTTTTTGGGTGCAGTCCTGTCACTCGAGTTGAACCTTAGTGTGAAAGTAAGTTGTCGCCTGCTGGCGTGGTGACCAGGTGATTTGGGCACCCAGGAGCACGTGACCCCTTCTTCAACCATGTTCGATTGGGAATAAAGGAGGAACGCTGCATCGCAGCCTTTTCGGACCAAAACCAGTCGACTCAGCGTCCAAAAGACTACAACTTATGGGCCAATCGCGGTCATCCGTACTTTTATAAGAACGAAATGGCGCTTTTAGTGACATTTTGCATACAAATCCCCATGTAGTAGGGCGCAGTCACCCAGTTTCGGTGGAAGTGCGCGAGTTCGATTGGGATTCAAGTAGGAAGGGAGCGTCTCAGCTTTCTCGGACCAAGACCATTCGACTCAGCACCCCGAAGACTACAACTGGTGAAATTTTAATTTTTGCCTTAACTAATACTTCCCCTTTATTAATTTGCACTTTGTTTCGGGTCTGTAGAGTGTTGTGTGGTTTCTCTGGTCTAGTCCCCAGTATATCTACTCACCAGTGCTATGCACAGATACAGATGCTACGCAGCAATGACTCTGATGTCTGAGCTCATGAGACTTCGCTTGAGCCCTTGTTGTATCAAAATCGACGTTTATCTATGACGTAACAATTACACGTGTGCACGTGGATCTACGTAGGCTAGGCTGTGTACCTAGCGAACACTGCACTAGAAAGAGTCAGTACCGATTACAGTCAGCCACACTACCCCCCCCCCCCCCTCCCCCACAGTAATACATTTTGTATCAGACAATGAACAGTCTACTGCTGTCTGTAATGTTCCATACATCGACAGAGCGCTAGCAAACTAGAGGTCAGAGTTCAAAGGTTCAGTCAGTTGATTCCTCACATTTGCCCGTCGTGCAGCTGAATACTTTCTGGTTGTTCGTAAAGACTTTCGTCCGTTCCTTGCAGTTCATTAGTAGTCTTGTTCATGTCCAAGGAACATCAGGGAGGAGGTTTTGAAACTCAGCCATAGGTACTGGACTAGAGTATTTGCATGTTGATGTTTTACTTCAGCAGTGCCCTTCCTCGTCGTGTAAAGTTTCAATTGAAATAGTTCCAGCAATTCAGTTAGTCGAGGGGGAGCAGTTCGTAGTGTTTCTTGTCATCAATGGTAGCGAGACGTAAGGCGACCATCCTAGACTGTGAGTAAAAACAGCTTTCTACTCAATACCTACGCTTTGCCGTCGTTCATCTCCTATGCTTTTCTTAGTATGAATGTCGTTTTCCGTGAACCTTCGTCTCTGTCCTAGTCTCGTGTCACAACGTGACGGCTATTCAGTGACCTAAATTGGTTGTTTGTTGAGGTGTAGAGTAGTTTTCTTTCGTCGAGAGTTGTCGTAGGCAGTGGTAGCAATGAGGTGTAACATTTGTCGGTCGTTTGTGTAATTTTGTCGAAGAACGTAAATTGCATGTGTTGCGGTGTGTTGTGAAGACCTCCCCGCCCCCGTGATGTCGTTCATTGACCGTCTTCACCTCTTTCAGCTACAGCCACTGACAACCATATAAAGCTGTATGTACGGTTATCGTGACGTTTGTTTGTGAATGATGGTTGCTAGGATACCTGTACCACGCTGTACTCTGTGGCGACAAATGTCATTACTTGCCACTGTCCAAATAAGGGACGTCTCTATGACGTCATGACGTGTGTCTGTGCATGTGCCAACAAAAGTGAAGAGGTGAAAATGTCATTCTTATGTTGTGTCTGTTTGTACGGTACAGATCTTGAAGAAACTGTGAAGAAATTTGCTGATGCAGTTTCTGAGAAAGGACGAGCGATGTACGAGATATGGGCGTTGGTGTTCAACATCCTTCATCTCCTGCACAGTACTGGAGCAGAGAAAGTTAGATGGACACCACCTGGTTATGCATTCACATTCTCCTACACACTAGGAGTAAGTAGAGTGTTGATGTAATGTGTGTACATGTGTGCTCTTGCACGTGCGCGTGTCCGTGTGTGTGTGTGCGTCCACGTGTGTTTGTGCATGTGTGTGTGTGCGTGTGTGTCTGTCTGTGTAGGTGCAGGCACCTGTGTGTGTGTGTGTGTGCACGTGCGCGTGTCCGTGTGTACGTGTGTGTGATCACGTACCCGTATGTGTATATGCATGTTCAAGTGGTGACACACCGTCTTCTTCTTCTTGTCTGTACCATTGTCAAGTGACTGATGACCAGTGGAAATTGTTTCTGTGACATAACATTAGAAGATGTGCAATTGCTGCAATATTCTCTCAAGTTGGAATAAAGTTATGACAATTTGACTGGTTTTGACCTCTGAGGTCAATCAGTAGGTTTCCTAGCTCCTAATGGCATTGTACTGAGAGTTTTGTTGCTGTCATTGTTGTAATTGTCAAATTGTTTCTTCTGTTTTGTATATCACATAGGTCACGATGATAGCTGTTCTCTGCTATTGTGGAGAACACCTTAGTGATGAAATGATGCAAGGTCTTGTCGACTATATTCTGCACTTCAAGTCAGTTGATGTCAATGAAGAAGATACCGACGTAAGTTGTTGTGTTTTGGATTGTGACAAGAGACATTGTCTGTGTTCAGTATACTGTGCTGGTTCACTGCTATGTGTACGTCTTTGCTGGTGTCTCTGTGTGTACGTCTGTTTCCTTGTTGGTGTGTTTTGCCTGTGTATATGTACTGCATGTTCATCTGTGTGTTTGTGTGTGTATGTACGTGTGGGTGGGTGCGCGCGCATGTGTGTGTATGTATGTGTGTGTGTATGTGTGTGTGTGTGTGTGTGTGTGTGTGTGTGTGTGTGTGTGTGTGTGTGTGTGTGTGTGTGTGTGTGTGTGTGTGTGTGTGTTCAGGACTCCTCGACTCTCTTGCACCATTGTGCAGTGACAGGCAATGCACGTTTAGCAAAACTGCTCATCGAACGCGGCGCTTGCCTCAACGCACAGACCAGCTTGGTAAGAAATAGTGTTACTCTAGAGTCTGGTTGTCTCAACTGAAATATCAGTTTGTAAGTTCTTACATGTCTGTGTGTATGTCTGTAAGACAATCTGTTCATCGTTCGTACTCGTATGTCCTTGTGTCCACGTGTGTTCATGTTTGCACTCTCATCTGTTCATCAGAAACGACATTTTCATTGTACAACCTGTGTTACCTTGTAGGCTCACGTGTGTTCTTGTGCGCATGTGTGTGTGTGTGTGTGTGTGTGTGTGTGTGTGTGTGTGTGTGTGTGTGTTTGTCCATGGGTGTGTGTGTGTGTGTGTGTGTGTGTGTGTGTGTGTGTGTGTGTGTGTGTGTGTGTGTTTGTCCATGGGTGTGTGTGTGTGTGTGTGTGTGTGTGTCCATGGGTGTGTACTCACATGTGCACACAATGACTTGTAATTCTTCATGTTTGTGCATGTGCCTGTGGTCCTGTATGTGTGTTCATGTGTGCACGTGCATTGTTGTGTTTGTTCTAGTTGTCCAGGTCTGTGTCGGTGTGTGGTTGTAGTAGTTAGTGTAATGGTTGTATAGCAATACTCATCACATTCTCTCTTTCTCTACAGTCACGATATACTCCACTGCACTTGGCAGTCATCTGGAACCAGATCAATGTTGTCAAGGTGATACTGTCACATGACAGTGACGGTGTCACCTTGGATACTGCACTGCTTGACGGCGTAAGTATTTGATTGTGTGTTGTTGTGAAGTGAACAGTTTCTACTCGTCCTTCTCATCTGTCCTCTCTCTCTCTCTCTCTCTCTCTCTCTCTCTCTCTCTCTCTCTCTCTCTCTCTCTCTCTCTCTCTCTCTCTCTCTCTCTCTCTCTCTCTCTCTCTCTCTCTCTCTCTCTCTCTCTCTCTCTCTCTTTCTCTAAATGGACAGAGTGTTTGATTGTGTTTGTTGGAACGAGTAAGGAGTGATGAGTTGTTGTTATTGTAACGAGTACAAGGAAGACATGCAGTTGTTCCTGACGAAGAGCTGTGATGATGATGTCTTTCCCTCCTCGTCATTGTTTCTTTCGGAGTTTTTTTGAATTTTTTCGAAGAGTGAAGTGAATTTAAGTGCTTGGATACAGTTCTAGGACAGGGATGTCAATGAGGAAGATGTTGTTTGTCATGTGAGTTATTTAAAGAGGTCATTGGCTAGTTCTCATCGTCGATAAAGCGCTTGTTGTGCTGCGTAGGTCATTTTCGTGAGATTGTAAATTTCTTCGTTTTTTGACTGAGTATATCTGTTGTTGTTGTGCTTGTGATGTGTTGTTGTGCTACTCAGGATGGTGAAACAGCATTGGACATAGCAAAGCGATCTCCTGATGAATATGTGCAGCTTCTCACACAGTATGAAGCTGACAAGGTATGTGTTTATTTTGTAGTTCATGAGTGAGTAAATATGTATGTAGTGAGTGGAGTGTGTAATGGTGGAGTATGGCTGAATCACCGACTGTCATTCAACCAGAAATGCCAACCAACTGGGTCTGTTTTGCGTACTCGGCCTTTTGATTTTCTGCACTTCTCAGTGTTTTGCATGCTAACGTGTACTGACGTGTGTTGTCGGTTTTGACACACACATGCACGTCGCTCCCTGAATTTGTACTGCAAGATAGATGTGACTTGTACCCACGACAGGATGTTTTGTGATGTCTGAAGTTGTAACATAGCAAGCACTCACTTTGCAAGGATATTCATTACTCAGCTTGTGCTTGCCATGCTACTACTACATGGTTACGTAAACAAATTCACGGTTCACGTGAGACTCAGCTGCAGGCTGCTGAGTTTTCCGTTTCCGTAGGAACGCCACCACCCTCTAGGATCAGCTCAGCTGATAAGTCTTTGTAATTTTCCCTACTTTTGCTCAAATTCCGTATTGCGGATGTAGGAGTGATTTTCAGTACAATTACGGGAAAATACGGAATGTTGTCATCACTGCTAAACTATTATTTGTGTACTATTGTCACGCAAGCAACTCTTTACCAGTGTATATAATTTATTATATATACCAGTAGATTAGAGAGATTGAGATTTACGACACACACGTCGGGTGGACTTGCAAAGCGGAAGAAATCCCTGCAAGGTCCTTGTCAACCTGTGATGTATACCCAAAGTGTGCCCAAGTGCCCATGCCACAGAAGAGCACCCATTGTAACTGTGATCAAAAATACCATGGCAGCTCACAGGGCTGGCAAATACGTGACTGGTCTGGGGATTGTCCCTGCCGTGCGGTAAGGGTATCCAGCTTTTGCAGACACGCAATGGCTGTGTGTGGGGGGGGGGACTGGCTACTGTGAGGATGTGTAGGGGTAGGGGGGGGGGGGGGGCTGTGAGGATGTGTAGGGGCAGGTGGGGGGGGTGTGAGGATGTGTAGGGGCAGTGGGGTGGGGGTGGGGCTGTGAGGATGTGTAGGGGCCGTGGGGACCTGTGAGGATGTGTAGGGGCAGTGAGGGGGGGGGGGGGAGTATGTGTTGGGGCCGGGGGAGGGGGTGGGTGGAAGATCCTGTGAGAATGTGTAGGATGGCGGGGGGGGGGGGGGTGAGGATGTGTAGGACGGAGGGGGGGGGGCTGGGATGTTGTGATGGTTGTAGGGGTGGGAACTGTGATTGCGTAAGGGGGTTGGGGCTGTGATGGTGTAGGGGTGTGTGTGTGTGGGGGGGGGGGGGGGCTGTGAGGGAGTAGGGGTGTGTGGGGGGGCTGTGAGGGAGTAGGGGGTGGGGGAGGGGCTGTGAGTATGTTTAGGGTATGGGGGGGGGGAGTGAGAGAGTGTAAGGCTGGATGGTGTGAGTGTTGGTGATAACTACTGTCTCCTCCAACGAAAAACTCCTATTTTTGTCGTTATCCAATTTTTTGTCGTGTGTATCTTGTTCTCTCTATTGCTAGTGTGTGCGTACACGTATGTTAACGTTCAGATCTGTGTCGGTGTCTTTGTCAGCGATGTGTGTGGATATGGCAAACCATTCTGTTGATTCCCCTCATTCAGTTGTTAGCTATCAGATAACAGTGGGCAGTGTAGTCAGCAGTGTAGTCGATAGTGTAGGCTGTCAACCCTGTGCACTCACTGAACTGACTATGTGTTTTGTTATGTGTCCAGGCAAACAAGAAGAGTAAGAAGCCACTGTTGTCATTAGAAACTGGTAAGGGATAAACTGTTGAGTGATTATAATTGACTTTCAATAGGGATCTCAGCGCGTGAACTGCGCAGCCAGTCTGCGCAGGTGAGATTTTCGATCCCAAACGCGTCCAGTGCAGAAATCGTGGAAAAGAACATTTTTTTCGAAATAAATCAAGTTGAAGAAGACAGTAGAAATGGCTGAATATTGCGTCCAGGAAAGCACGTTCTACGGCCATTTCCAAGCTACCTATCTCCCAGACACTCTCTCTGAGGAACTATGGAGGGTCAAAGAGCACAATCTTTCACTCTTGGACGCAGCGTGAACACCTCTTCTACTGAGCGCGATGTCTTCTCTCTGAGTGATAATGGCGGCGATGTTCGCGATGGCTGATGCACTGAAAATCGAAGTTAGGACAATCTAACCGGAGAAAACGTCTGAATTTTTGACTGAATCCTCTCTGAAGTGGGTTCTTGCCGCATGGAAAATTATAGGAAAATTGACCGGGGCAATATCGCCTTGGCCACGCTGTCCTTCGGCGGGAATTACAAAGTATGTTCGAACGACGATGAAGATGACGATTCCGCTAGTGTCCACCGCGTCCCCTACTGGCCCTGGTGTCGAAAATCGACCGTCGCCATTTTTCTGCTGTGTCCGCGAGCTGCACTCAAAACTCGATGACGCAATGTATGCGCAAACACCCTGCGCACTGCACGCGCTGAGATCCCTACTTTCAACAGAGAACACATTTCAAACGATGTTGTTCTTGGCATTGTCGTCATCGCTGTCATCATAGTCGTCAACACTGCTATTTCTATCTTGTGATCAAGATTGATTTATCAAAGTAATGTGGTATTTCCTGTTGTTCTTTCACTTTCTGAAATTAACTAAATGCTGTTGTGTTCTCTTCTCTTGTGTTTTGTCTCCATGGACAATTGCCATGGCTACTGAAGAAGTGTGAAAGCAGCTGTGACGGGCAAGCCTAGTCTGCATAGCCACGGCGGGGGACGTCTACCACTCGTGTGTGTGTGTGTGTGTGTGTGTGTGTGTGTGCGTGCGCGCACGTCTGTGTTTAGATGCATGACATTTTAGGAAATTAGTAAACGGACTTCTCGTTGATATTTTGCTTCTTGGTTCTCGCAATATCTGATGGATGGGTTCTATACATTCTATTCGCCATGCTCTTTACAACTACAAGTAAATTTCGTGAATAATTTTCACTGTCGTTGTCGTCTGGTAAACAAATTGATTACATCATAGCTGATCGTTGTCCTCCACCAGCCTGCACCGTGAACTTAGCCAGTTTTATTACTCGTTTGAAACTGTTTTCCCTCTAACTAATTTTCTTAGTATGCAGCGCTGGCTGACTATCGTGTACAATTGACCGTGCCATTCTTTGTATTTGTTTCTGGCTTTGTCTTGTTTCTGTACACGTGACAATGTGGCTGTTGCCTCAGCTTTGGTGTTTTGTATCTGGAAAGATTATTGCTGATAAAATTTAAACTCTCAGATATTCCAAATACTCTTTCTGCTCTCGGACTATGCTAGGTTCAAGTTTGAACTGAAGCTAGGCGGTTTACAGGAGAGTACGAGATCACCACTACCTGCCGTTGTACATGTACATGTGTGTATGTGTGTGTGTGTGTGTGTGTGTGTGTGTGTGTGTGTGTGTGTGTGTGTGTGTGTGTGTGTGTGTGTGTGTGTGTGTGTGTGTGCGTGCGTGCGTATATGTGTATATCTGTTAACCATGGACTGCTTCTGGCTAGATTAACTCTTGTGTAATCGATGGTGCTAGTGACGCTTAAATCAGATCCACTCTGATTTAGCCACCCACACTATAGTACCAAGTATTACCTTCACTGGGGGCAGGGGTACCTGCAGTTGGATCCCAGGACGGATACCCTGATGCCGTCCATCCTTTTTCTGCACCTTGTCCTCACCCACTTACTGAGATGTGGTGAGCCCATAAGTGGGATCATTTTAAAGTCCACCCAGAGTTTCGGGGATTTCAGGGGTGTCGGCCGTTGGGCGGTTCAATAGCCAGTTGAGTCATCTTTCCAAGATTCCTTTTGAGTCTCTCTCCCCTCTACCGGGGAGACCCACGTGACCAGTTTTGGCAGTGAGCAACAAGTATGTGTGTGTGTGTGCGTACGCGCGCACGCGCGTGTGTATGCCTTGGAGGTTTGTTAGTTGCACGATACTTAGAGATCTCAGCCTCAATCTAGGGGACGGTATCTAATCTTGATGAGACGAGTCTCAATTTTAACCGTTCAGCCCCAAATAAGTTTTGGGAGTTGCAATTGCATGTGTTGTGTCATTCCAAGGCACTTCCTTGCTATCGCTGTGATGTCCTGTGTGCAAAAGACCACACACAAGCACACTCTAGCGTATACTTCAGTAAACCTGGTCGTATTTTAGGTAAACACAGGGATTTATTGTACTGACTGGTCTTGTGTTAAACCCTGTATGACAGTATGACTAGTCTTATCAGGACACGTTACGACTAAACACTGTTCATAACCACTAGTCTTATCAGGACACGTTACGACTAAACACTGTTCATAACCACTAGTCTTATCAGGACACGTTACGACTAAACACTGTTCATAACCACTAGTCTTATCAGGACACGTTACGACTAAACACTGTTCATAACCACTAGTCTTATCAGGACACGTTACGACTAAGCACTGTTCATAACCACTAGTCTTATCAGGACACGTTACGACTAAACACTGTTCATAACCACTAGTCTTATCAGGACACGTTACGACTAAACACTGTTCATAACCACTAGTCTTATCAGGACACGTTACGACTAAACACTGTTCATAACCACTAGTCTTATCAGGACACGTTACGACTAAACACTGTTCATAACCACTAGTCTTATCAGGACACGTTACGACTAAACACTGTTCATAACCACTAGTCTTATCAGGACACGTTACGACTAAACACTGTTCATAACCACTAGTCTTATCAGGACACGTTACGACTAAGCACTGTTCATAACCACTAGTCTTATCAGGACACGTTATGACTAAACACTGTTCATAACCACTAGTCTTATCAGGACACGTTACGACTAAGCACTGTTCATAACCACTAGTCTTATCAGGACACGTTACGACTAAACACTGTTCATAACCACTAGTCTTATCAGGACACGTTACGACTAAACACTGTTCATAACCACTACACCACGTGTACTGTGTACTGTTAAAGCTGATTTTTTCGGTGGTGATTTTTTTTCGGTAACTTCGGTGCCGACAAATTTGACCGAAAATAAAACGCACCGAAATTTTCGGTAAAACCGGTTCTGTATACATGTCGTACTAGTACACTTACCTGGAAAACGGGTTTTACCGAAAATTTCCCTCCACCGAACCGCCGATTTTGGCGAATTCCGAATATATCGCACACCGAAAATTTCTGGTTTTACAGTATATAAAGAGAACAAATTCTGCTGTCATCGCCACACTACAACAAAGTCATGAAGGTTTACCAAAATCGATTTTCCTGTCACAATCATCAGTGGAAAGCCGTGACTGAAGAATAGCCATGCCAAATCAATAATTTATATACATTCAATAATGTGTTACGAGAACAAAACAAAGTGCTAAAAATAGAATGAGGGAAGGTGAGACAATAGAAGTAAAGTGAGAGCTCAGTGTGTGCAGGTGTATGATGATTTTAGTTTTTCTGTTCTTTGTCGTGCACGGTACGCTAGTCAGTTGAAAGTACTTGAGGCTGTTTGTATTTATTTATTTATTTATTTATTTATTTCACCTTCCCGTGGCCAGAGAATATAGGCCAATATGGAGGGAGGGGGGCGGTAGCCAGCCATGGCAGTAAACAAAAACAAAGCAAAAATAAATAAATATTACACATTACTGGAGGCAAAGCCTGAGAAACAAATGTGGATGAAGAACTAGCAGTTATTAGAACACGAGCTTCATGTTGGCCTTGAAATCCTTTAGCGTACAAGACGATTTTACTGATAGAGGCAGGGCCAGCCAGAGAGAATAAGCAGCAAAAAACGGAGATCTGGTATAAGCTGAGGTTCGGGCTTTAGGTAAAGTGCAGGGATTGCGCGTAGGACGAGTGGGAAGAAACCAGTTATATTTACACAAGTGTGGCGGGGCTTTGTCAAGACGAATAGAATGAACAACAATACACAGTTTTCGATCCGCTTGACTAGAGATAGGGAAGGTGTTAAACATATCATACAGCTCGGCAGAAGGAAAGTATGATGGTTTGCGGAAAAGGACTTTGAGTATCCTCTTATTGTGGACTTCCAGGGTACTCATTAACGATTTACTAAGTAGGGATGACCAGGCGGTTGAGCAATAGAGAAAAATGGGGAGAATATAGCAATGATAAAAAAGGCGAATGCATTCAAGCGGTAGGTGGGAGCAGTGAGACACGAGGTAGCCAACAGCTTTACTGACTTTGCTACAGATATAGTCGACATGTCTACTAAACGATAAGTCTGAGTCAATGACCAAACCAAGATGTTTGTGTTGTTTTACCACTGTGAGGTCTGTGAGGGATCCGGGAAGAGTGAATGCATAGGTTGGCTCTGAGTTCGGCAGGAATAATATCTCAGTCTTGGCGATATTAGGTCTTAGTCTCCAGGTAGTCATCCACTGATGGACTTCGTTGATACCGCGCTGGAGACTGTCTCGCAGCCTGTCTAGACACTCATTGAACCGGAGCAGTGCAGTATCGTCAGCAAATAAGGACACACCTTCAACATGACTGGGAAGATCATTTATATACACTAGGAAAAGGAGGGGCCCTAGGATGGATCCCTGGGGCACTCCGGACAGAACAGGTGAAGCATCTGAGAGAGTTCCACCTACAAAGACAACTTGCGTTCTGTCGGATAGGTAGTCTGTAATCCACTCCAGCGCTGAGTCACACACACCGAAAACTTTGGAAAGTTTAGCAAGTAATGCACGGTGCCACACGGTGTCGAAAGCTTTCTCGAGGTCGAAAAAGCACATGGCAACTTTCCACCCCATATGACGATGGTCGGCAATGTTTTGGATCAGCTTGGTGAGCTGTAGAGCGGTCGAGTCACCACGACGAAACCCAGATTGCGCGGGATTCGTTTGTATACGCCTGATCTTTGTAAGCAGAAGAAACATGTAGTTGCGTTAAGATTGTTTTCGTAGGTGCACAGCGTGATTGTTTGTCTCACTACACAGTTCTAGCGTTGCAATTAGTTCCTCACCCCTGTTGCACTTAGCTCTCACTTTACTTCTACCACCGTCCTGTCAGACAGTGAGTATGAGAGGAAGCGGGGAGGGGGAGCCTACAGAACATGCAAAAGAGAACTCTGGGTAGTAACGTTATGTTTGAAGGTTGCCACCGTCACGTGATCTATGTTTTCGTCACAGTCTAGCCATTCATCCACCTTCCATTTGCACTTCACTTGACCTCTCTGCAGCACGCATGCTTGTTCCAGGTCCGTCTCCTTCACATGCGCCTTCAGGTACAAGTGGATCAGCACAGCAGGATGCATCACCAGATCACTGGTCATAGACTAAACAGTTCATTTAGAAAAGCGATCCTGTCAGCTTTTCTATTATTGTGTTCACATGGCAGAAAAAACGACACCGCTATGCTACGTAAGTTTCTACGTAAGGTGCTCGGTACTTCACTTAGGCTACGTAAGTTTCTACGTAAGGTGCTCGGTATTAGATCTACTAACGCGTGGTAGCCGCGTGTTGTGCACGTGCTCGGCAGACATTGTGTTGCATGCAGTGCATGCAGTCCGTTTTCGGATGTGCATGCGCGAGGAACTTCCTTCTTTGGAACTGCTTCTTGCATGAGCTGTTTCGGATATTTCGTGTCCTGGCTTATTTCGCTTCGGCTCTGCTGAGACCTCTTTTCACGGAATATTACTCAATGACAGGTGAGTTGACCAGTTCCCTTTGATCCATTTGCTTGTGTTGACTCTTTCATTTACGAAAAGTGTGCTGATTTTAGGTGGAATACAATAAAATTAATAATGGAAAAGCTGACAGGATCTCTTTTCTAAATTTAGCTTTTCTGCTGTCGAGGCCTCCTTTTACGGAATACTCAATGACAGGTGATCTCTGAGTTGACCAGTTTCCTTCGATTCATTTGCTTATGCTCACCCTTTCATTTACGGAAACGTGTTCTGATTTTATTCGGATTTAGATCCATTCGTTTCACTTTGCCCTTGCCAACAGTTCATTGTACATTGGTACGTTACAAGTAAGGCACGGGTCATGATTGCTTCCGGCATTCCGTGCTCCGATCATAGGGTAGAATCTGAATTTTGCAGTGGCATAGCATCGTTGGCAGTTCCCAATCTGGAGGGAAAGGTTCAAAGACGCATTGGCCGAGTACTAGTATGCAAAATAAATTCGCATATCAGGGAAAATCTCCATTATGGAGAGGTTCATGCATTCAGTGACTTGTTTGCTTCATACGAAACAAGCCAATGGGTGCAGTCTCGTCTCGTGAAAATCTCGTACGATTGGATTTGTTTACTCGAGTCTGGGCTGTTTGATTTGTGAGTAGCGCCGAGATTGCACTGCCCCAAATAAAGTTGCG